TTTTGGGGGGTTTTTGAAAGAAAGACTTTCCCTGTGGGCAAATTCCAGACTGTGGCTTTGGGAAAACAGGGATCTTAAAATGGAAGGTCCATGTGCCCCAGCTGCTTACTTGACAGCTGTACTGCTGGAGTCAGCCGTGTGCCTAAGGGGAAGAGGGAAAGGCTGAAGGAATCCGTGTCCTCGATCCTGCTCACAGCTCACCACAGCAGTGCTCTGCTCACTCCCAGGTGTTGTGAGAGCCCTGCCCATGTGCTGCTGTCTGGGGGGTTTCTTGAGGGTGTTTGCTGTGGTGATGTTCTCCCCAGTTGCTGCTCCCACTTGGCTGCAGGGTTTCTCCTCCCTGGCCAGGGACAGAGGCTCAGAGTTGTCAGGGGCACCTGGGGAGTTCACAGCAAGCAGCAGTGGTTATCCCAGAGATCAGAAACCCTGGGGGAAAAGAATGATTCACTGTCAATAGTGCTGACGGTGCTTTTCAAGTGCCTTTCGAAATTACTAAAATGACCTCATCAGTTGATAGCTGCTGCAGAGTGCAGCCACTCCACTCCTAGAGGAGGTGGGTGGGTCACCAGGAGCTCTGGTGGCAGCACAGCTGCTGCCCTGCCCTCAGCCCAGGGCAGGAATGGCTGCAATGCTGCGGGGCAGGAATGAGCTGCTTTGGCAGATTTGTCCTCAGGGAGGAGCTCAGATAGTCCCCGAGTCAAAAATACGCAGGCATCTGATTTCAGGATGATTTCAGGATCCAAGTATTTGGCTGGTTCTGGATGTGAAGATTTGAGCAGGTTTTTCCACGGTGATTTGGTTCTGTGCAGCTTTCTTGGATTCACAGCTTTTCTGCAGTGTGCCCAGGTGTAGGACTGTACTGGCGCTGATTTATTCTTTCACTGGGGCAGGCCTGGTCTCATGCTCATGCTCCCCAACAAGAGATGCCCTTACAGATTGGGACAATAAATACTAAATACCTGGCCTGTCCCTTACCCTGAACGTTAAAAGCAATTTTTGCTCCATATATGTTCACTGCACTTCTTGGCACGAGGTTCCCACAGTCTTTGGAGCATCAGCGCTGGTACTTTGGCTGCTGGATGCAATCAATAGTTTGAAATTGTTAAAGTGACAATGAAGTTTTTATACCTTCCAGTACGACATTTGCAGTTGACTTTCATCAGGGATTTGAAGGCGAGATGTGCATCATCATAAAGAGACCATCCTGGTGGGCTCATCAGTGGTGATACTTTTATCACCTGATAGAAAACCTGGAGGAGCCCAGTGACCTGCAATCTGATCAAGTTGGATCTGGCCCAGCCCAGTTTGTGGCAGGCTGGCTGCTTTCCCCATGGGAAAGGAGAAAATGAAGTGAATCAAAAGTTTTGGCATCATTATTTCAACCTACCTGTAGTTCTTCCATGTGAGGATTGGTGTTTTCATTGCCAGGGCTCCACAGGGAACCTGCAAGATTTTAATTTCATTTTAGTCTCTCTAAAAGCTGTGAGTGTAGTGGGTGAGTACATACCACACCGGTGCTTAGTTTTTCCTCATTTCTCACGTTCCTGCTGCACTTTTTGGCTTCTAAGGGTCACAGCTATCAGAGGGGCCTCTACTGGAGTGAGTCTGGAATGAATTTGATAAATGATTCCTACGAAGGCATGACATGAACACACTCATTGCTACAAGTGTTTCCTTAACCACCACTCCCTTATCAGCATGAAAAACAAGTATGTAGAGTATCTTGGGAAAATACACTTGTGCAGATGCTGAGAGAGCTACAAGCCTTATCAGCAAACAGGTTCAGTAACATTTGCAATTCAATCCACTTGGAATGGCTGTCAGTAGAATGCTCATCTTTCCTGAAAGCTTCAGGCCATCCCTGCTAACTCCAGACCTCTCTGAGACCACATCAAAATCTGTTGCTGTGACGGTGTCCATGGAGACTTCCCAGTCGTGTTGCCCTTTAATTTGTGTCCCACTGAAGAACTAAGAACATAAAAAGCAGGACAAAGCAGGTGCTGCCCAGCTAAACAAATCTCTCCTTCCTACCCACAGGTCTGGGCTGCAATATTTCACTCACAGAAGTGATATTTACTAGGAAAAGTGAACTAATGATTAATGGTTTTGCAATAAC